ATCTTTCTAGCTGATATATGAACTGGATTTTGGGGCTGATTTTATTTGGACGAAATTAATTAATAGGTATACACTTAGCCAACAGGATTTTGATAGTGGTATTGTTGAAGTTTTGTTGTCATTGCACAATACCTGATTCACTGAATTGAAAAAGACTGATAAATGGTTTGTATTTATATTGCGCTTTTCTAGTCTTGATTGTCTAAACATGAAGTCACATGACTTTCGACAACAAAATTTACAGCATGTGTGTTTCGATTGAATAACCTGAAAATGTTGTATTAGTGATGATAATAGTGTTGTTGATTGGTAATTGTGGCTGCCATGGATGCCACGCTACATATTTACGTTTCCTTTGACATTTATTTTGAAAAACCATTTGACCCGGAAGTGTTTTTCCTCCTCTCCTGTGTACTGTGGTTAGCACGTGTGTATGTGTCAGAGCAGGGTTCAGTAAACACACACGCACAGAGAAGTGTTAGGGAACATGTGTGTGTTTATGTGTGTAAAAAGCGACATGACTTCATTTAACAGTTTGTGTTGACTCAAACCGAGGAGTCATGACAGCTAGCGGCTAAGCTAACCGACCGAGCTCAGGTAGGTGTTGTTTTTTTGAGAAAGTGGTGCAGCTTCCATCTGCCAACGTGTTCAAGGCTGAAGGGAAACAACATGTTTAATACTGTTGGGTTCGTTTAGTACTTTAGAAATCTAAGGATGACCACATCAGCAGAGCAGTTTACCACAGGTAGACTTCAGATCACACCAGGTCTAGATCATCTGTCATTTCTCGACCAAATGACCAGGGGGAGTTGAATTAGTGATTGAAACACATTTTTTAGAGAAAGGAAGAAGCAAATTTAGCTGTTTTGATCCTGTCTCGACCAAATCATACCAGGTCTACATTAAAAACTACTGTATATAGACGTATCAAGTCTGCAGTGAAATCACTCTTTTTTTATATTTTCAGAAATGTGAACATGGCTGTCAGAGAGAGTAAAGGCTTTAATTGTGACATCTGACTCATATTTTAAGTATATAAGTGCTCAGTATTGTAACTGAATTTTCCTTTAACTTTCCCTTTCTGCATCATTTCTAAATGTCAGTTATACTTTCATAATCTTGGTTACTCTGTCACCAGCTGGCCTGCTGATAACAACTCTGTTGTATTTTTACAGACACTTTTCACTGTTCCTGATGCAATAATGGCTGATGCATTCAGCAGCAGCTCGGAAACAGTGCTCCAGCGAGTTGTAGACTGTACAGTGAAGACAAATACTTCTCCAGAGAAACTTGAGGAGTTGTATCAGATAAAGAAAACCTGCAACTTTATCAGTCAGCATCAATTCCAAAAGGTGAGGATGTGAATTATTATATGTTTTTTGCGTAACACTCAATTGTTTCCAAAATAACTAACAAATAACGGATAGATTATTGAGACTGTTGACCAAAGAAATCTTGGTAAACTCAAATTGTACTCACTCTTTAAATAATCAAATAGTGGTGGGGGTTAGTGTTGATGGAAAGAATTAAATATGATTTATCTTATAAAAGGTTGTATAAAAGAGAGAGATAGACACACACACAGACACAAGTTATGTTTCAAACTACTGTTTGCAAAGTTTACACTCAACTTTTTGGTCACATTTGGTTTAACGAAATGCACCCACACAGACCACTTCTTTGACATATTGTCATTTAGTTAGTGGTAAACTCAGAGTGAACATTCAGTAATCGTTCATAATGCAGTCTCTGTTTGGTTGGGACAATCCAAAGTTTTTACAGCTGGTCAGTCCCTTCCACCACCCAGTAATGTGTTTCTCCTTATCAATGTAACACTGGTGATTGTGTGACTACTAAGTGTATTTCGACCGACCAGTTGAACATCAGACTGCAGCCCATTTGATGACCTGTTAATCAGTGAAACAGCTTAAGTTGAGTTGGATACTTATTTGAGAAGTTAATTTGCCTAAATGCTTACAGGTTGCTCTGCAGTTTCCTGATGAGCTGTTGGTGGACTCCATCACAGTGGCAGCAGAGATCGAGAACCACAGTAATGCCAAGACGTTCATTTTAGGAGATACATCCTATGGCAGGTAATTCAGCAGGTTTCATACAGTCCAAAGTGCTTTGACTCTTGACAAGACAAGGCTTTTTACCCTTTTACAGTCATTTCATACTCTACATATGTGCCAATTTCCAGGGTTTGATCCTCCACAGCCATCTTGTATTTTAAACCTAAAATAGCTTTTGTAAGTGTTTTTTCCCCGTAAACGAGTGAATTAAAGGTACATAGTGTATAATTGTGTGATGTCTAGAGTTGAAATTGCATGTTGCAGCTGAATACCCCTCACCTCACCCTCTCCTTCCAAACATGAAAAAGAAACTGTGGAGCCTTCAGTTGTAATAAAAACTCAAATGGTGTTTAGTTTGTCCAGTCTGGACAAATGTAAAAAACATGGTGGCCTTCGTAGAGAGGGTCTCCTCAATGTTATTATAAAGTATCTAAATATAAAGGTTCCCTTCTGGGGTAAAGAAAACTACAATTTAGATGACACGAACTAGTGAAAACATCATGAGGATTATTCTACATTAAATTTCAATAGATCCCTTTCACATAAATCTTACACACTGGACCTTTAAGCTTTTGTCAGTGTAAGCTTATTTATTCATTAGCATGTAATACCTTAGCACTGGGAGTTGTTAAAGAACCAGCCATTGCCAACACACCATGATTTTGTTTTTTGATGTTTAGGCACATACATTTGTTTTCAAGGTTTTAATTAAAGGCTCATTTGTGCTCCCTTTATGCACGAAAAGAGATTCATTAATTTCAAATGATGTAGCCATCACTACCAACTGCCTCGCTCAATGTACTGTATTAGCTTTACTGCCCCTCCAGGATTTCCTGTAGTACTGCTCTGTTTTGTCAGTTTCTGTATACATATCTAAAGTTGAGCATAAATGAGCCTTAACCTGATTGTGAGTTGAAAGGTGTCTGTGGGTTGGCTGTCTGTTTAATGGAGATGTTGCTATACTTCATTGAACTCTCTTGAGCAGCTGCTGTGTGGATGAGGTGGCTGCAGAGCACGTAGGAGCAGACTGCATTGTGCACTATGGCAGAGCCTGCCTGAGCCCCTCTAAAAGGCTGCCCCTGATGTACGTGTTTGAGAGAAGACAGCTGGACGTGGAAAAGTGCGCCTCTGCCTTCAGAGAACTCTTCCCTGACACACAGAGTAACATCATCATCCTCTATGATGTCAACTATGTTCATGCGATTGGTAAGATCTCACACAAGATCTCTCCTGTAATAATAGATAATAATAATTCCCCTCTCAGTAACTAAATACCACCATCTTTTTTTCTAGGCGATCTTCTGGAACTTCTGTCTCCGGAGTATCCAAACCTCGTTGCTTCAGATCTCGTTGTCGAAGGGGAGCAGTGTTTCAGTCACAGCCAGATCAAAAGAAAACATTATGATAATTGTCTGTCAGAACAAGATAACAGACAGGTGATTTGTCAGTTTGGGAGGCAATTCACCTTGAACAGTGGTTCAAACCTAACAGATCACAGTATATTCTACATTGGCCAGGAAGGAGCAACGCTGCGAAATTTCATGATGACCTGGAATCGCTGCTCATTTTTTTCTTTTGACCCAGTAACTATGATGGGTAGGAAGGAGTCAGTAAGCATCAACCGTGCGCTAATGAAGCGCTATTACGCTATTGAAAGGGCCAAAGATGCCAGTGTGGTTGGTATCCTGGTCGGTACACTGGGGGTGGCCGACTACCTCACCATAATCCAGCAGCTGAAGGAGACCATCGGCAGGGCTGGCAAGAAGAGCTATATGTTTGCCATGGGTAAACTGAACGTGCCCAAACTTGCAAACTTTCTGGAAATTGACATTTTTGTGTTAATTGCTTGTCCGGAGAACTCACTGTTAGACTCAGGTGAGTTCTTTAAACCTGCAGTGACGCCGTTTGAGATGGAGGTGGCATGCAACAAGAACAGGGAGTGGTCAGAAGAATATGTCACAGACTTTCGACATCTCCTACCAGGTTAGTTTGAGATTTATTGATATCATAATACTCTTAATAACCTTTTTTTAATTTTATATTAAGGGTGTGTGTATTGTGACTTTTTTTGTGAAAATTGAGCCTTTCCATGTTCAGCATAAAATTACTGAAAAAGTCAAACAGTTGGAAATTCTGCTTTAGTTTGTGCAGTGGGTCATGGACAGTGATCTAACAGATACAACATAAAGTTAAATGTGTGTTATAAATGTGGCCAATATATTTACGTTTTCCCGCTTTTTATTAAAATTAGTTGTACTATTTCTGTATCATATTTCAAGATGTTAGGGGAGGGAGTTCATTAAGTCTAGGAATAAAAAGGTTCATTAAGCTGGATGTTTTTTTTACACAGTCCCAGATAAGAGTTCTCCACATGTATTTATTAGCCAGTCCAAATGATGTTTAATTTTCCAACATGATCTAGGTGGACAGAGTCATGTGCCTTTGGCTGATCAGCAAGAGGAGGGCGACGAGACAGATGTGTCTTTAATCACTGGAGCTCTACGGAGTCGCTGCGTGTTGAACAGTGAGCCTGCAGAGTCCTCACATGGCTCATCGGTGGTCCTGAGGAACCATACGCTAATCGTAGCCAACACAGACTCGGCTGGTATGGGACAGTTAGAAAGTACCATTAACTACACGCAGCGTTTGCTTTTTTTGTTTATTGCAGAATTGTGCAAAAGCTCAATAACTCTTACACTTTGCAGCTTAATGCATGATGTACAATTTCACATTTTTGCTTGATCTCTCCAGCATCATTTCTGGCAGGACGAAGCTGGCATGGCTTAGAGCAGAAGTTGGGAGAGACCCCTGTGGTGAAGGCAGTAGAGGGCAGGAGAGGCATAGCTATTGCCTATGAAGAGGAAGGAACGTCTTCATGATAATCAACCTTTAATCCCCAAGGTCCTTGATAGATTATTTAATCATCACTACCTGCAGCTACAAGTGTGCAGTATATGACTTGTAATTATATAAATCTGTAAGTAATTAATAAACTGATACAGGGAACACCTCTTGTTATTTTAGTTTTTACTTTAGATGTTTGTGTTTTTTTTGAACATTTTCTGCTTAGTACTGTGATAATACAGATAATTTGGTCACTATAATCATGATAGTAAATTTCACCTTGGTTTTATCTCTACTCTGTATTTATGTTTGTTTGATAGAGGCTGTTGAAGTTGACTTTATTATGATCGATTCGTAATTTTTGAGCAAAGGGGATCTACAAAGGACATTGGTTATGTAAAAGCTAATTTCACGAGTATTGCACAGATACAAAGTCGTAATAACCTAAAAAAAATAACATTAACAATTACATACATTTAACATACATTTCCTGTGGTGTTATCCAAGTGTTCATAAGATTACATCAACAGTTAGGCTGAAGCACTTGAGAATTGCACATATATGAGTAATACCACAAACCATAACTTATCTACTAACCAGTTATGACTATATTATGGATGCTGTGAAGCAGTGTTGCTTATACACATGAATAAATTAATTAATGAACTGAAAAAATATTTTTTTATTTTATTAATATTTTTAATGGAGAAGCTGTACAACTGTCTTCAGTGCCTTTTGTGTTTGTTTACATCAGTTTCTGAGGAACTTCTTCCACAAAAGATGCAGGGAATATACCAGTGTTCCCATTGCATTGTCCTTCCAACCAATCCTGGTTAACTGAAGAAAAAGAAGATATGGATAATGATTGATATGATTCATATGTCTTGATCAAACTTAAATGATTTCTCAATATTCAGTATGTATATGTCCTAGATAACTGATTTTCACCTTTGGAGAGCAATGTGATTGTATCCCCTTGATGAAAATTGAGATCCTCTGGATTAGATGACTCATAGGAATGAAGTGCCACAAAGTGGATGTCATTACTTGGCTTTCCATCAGTTTGCTGGAACTGAAACACACACACATACACACATTTGTCATCAGTCATTTCTGGTCAATTTAATCATAAACTCAAGATGAGACTAGTAATCTTAGTTTAAACTGGTTATACATTTTTTTTTCAATATGGTTCTACTTAAACTTCCTTCAGAAAGTGGCCAAAACATAAACATTAGTTCTCTGCTGTTCTCAGTGCAGAATGAATCAGGATCTTTTATAATAATAATACAACTTCATTTGTATAGCACTTCTAAACAAAATATGTGATTTGTAGGACTGAAACAAAACAAGACAAAACAGGAAACAAAGAAAGTCAATATCAAAAAACATTTTGTTAAAACCAAAAATTAAAGGCTTTCCTATAGAAATACACTTTTGTCACATCACAGGTAAAATGTTTATGTGTAGATGAAATCATGTGCGTTTCTCCTGTAGTGCTGTACCACAGTTTTAGAACTGAACTGCAGGACCGTTACATAGGATGAAACATCTGTTGTGAGGCTGCTCAGATGATAGTGCCGAATGAAGACTTCATTAGGAAAATTCTCAGGTAATGCTTGAAGACTCAGTAAATGTTAAAAGCAGGTTTGATTCATAATTGCTATTATCTTAATCCCCATTGCAGAAAACTGAAGTATCTCCCAGAACAACTGTACCTTACCATTTCTTACCTCCTTGTTGTGACACCACAAGGTGATGCGCCTACCATTGGCACGACTCCACAAACTTTCCATTTCTGTGTCGGCACTAATTAGACTTTGTTCATCGGCGTTGGAGGTCAAACTATGTCAAATAAAAGAATTGAATTTTGAACTTGGCAGTGACACAATACACTGGTTAAACTTGAATATGTTTTTTTATTTGCAGTGTACCTCAAGGAGACTGCAGTAGAGGGGAGATTCAGTTTCTTACAGATTTTCTCCATCAGTATGACAGAGTGAGACCCAGGGGGTACAGAGACTGCAAAGTTGAATTTAAAATGGACTTTGACAATATATGAATCATCAGGAGACTGAGCATCCTGGAAAATATGAACAGACAAATTGTCAGATTGTGAAAAAGGAAAATCAATCTTTAATTGCTGTTGTTGGAACATTTTGTGGCTCATAGGTCGGACTGGTCATTATAAAGTATTTGACTCAACATACCTTACATTGTCTGTCTCTGCTGCTGTTTTCACTTGCAGTAAGACCTGGAATATGGAGAGGAAAAATAAAAAGGTTTTTTTCATGTATTGGGTCAAATACAATTTGCGAATGTGTTTTGTGCTAACATGTTACCTATACTGATAGGGTTGGTCAAAGGCAATGTCATATAGTGTCAATTACAGAAGCTCAGTTATTGTATCACATTTAAGAAAGAAAAGCCTTATTTACCTTGTTTTCTTTCAGGTCTGGTTGGAGGTTCTCGACTTGGAGTTTTACGTATTCCCTGTCCATGGTTAATCCCGTCCAAACAATGCCATTCAAAAAGTAAATAAATAAAGATGCGTTATTCAGAAAACATCCATTGTTTTAATTTGGACATGAGCTGGTAACCTGCACCATACTACAAAACTTAAACAAAAAACACGTCCCCACACGCTGTTTGCCATTTCAGAAATCAGCACATTAGGATTAGAAATTAGGGAAACGACGACCAGTGATTTTTTACTTAACAGACATTTTAAAAGTCTCTGAGCTAAATGTTGGAAGATTAAATTGATTCTAAAAATACTAATAAGATACCATCAGAACATAAGATGTTTCATATTTCTGTAATGGCTGTAAAAAAGGTATTAACATTACTTTAGCAGTCAATGAACAGTCTACAAACAGTGGACAAGTTACTTCTCACCTCCTTCTGTTTAGAAGCCAATGAGATTTCCAAACGTTCCAGGTAATTGTAGGGAACAAGTCCCCTCTAGAATTGACAAAAATTGAGGCTTGGAATATGAATAATGTGTTTAATGCACTTTTCATAAAAAGAAAAACATGGTAAATGGATGGTTTCATGGTCCAAATAGGGTGCAGATGTGGTGGTCTTACTCTTTCATTGAAGATCACAGATGCCCAGTTATCAGCACCTTTGTGTAGCACAAACACAATATTGCCTGGCACGACAGCCAACTCGTCACTGGTCTCAGGAACAAACTCAAACAGGACAGTGTGGGGGTCTCCTTCCAGAGCCCTGTGAAGACAGGAGATGTCAATCTGCTGATGAGAGAGAGTATGCACACCAAGCTGTCTTTTGGTCTCTTCCTAATATTCACTCAGTGGTTTGGCATTTTACACTGAATAAAGCCTTTTATTAATTGAATTGCCTATTTTTGAATAGTCAATTTTCTGTCATCATCCAATTTTAAATACATTTTGCACCTGTACAGTGTATAAGGGGGTAAAGTTCTTTACACTGCACTGCTCTGTCACAAATCTTGTCACGTAAATTTTTTTTGCTGTCAGTTGTAACTGATTACAGCAAGGCTAAATTACAACGACTAACTACTTTAGCTATGATGCATATTTAGTGAGCATCTTCTAGTCTGTATGGTGAGTCCTGTGAGATGTGGACTGCTAATTGTGGTTCTACCTGAGAACCTCGGGCTCCTTTGGACAAGTTGGTCCATCTTCAACCTGTTGAATTTAAACACCAACACAAAGCATCCAGTCAATATTCCTTTAGACAGTTTGAAATGCATTTGTCCCCAACGTGGTACAACAATGCCATTTTCCAAAAAAGATTTGTAGAACTGGATCTGAAATGGAAGATGCTTTAATTTATTATTTAAGTTACTAAAACAGGTTGAGCATAATTAAATGCCTCAGAATATTTGAAAAGAAGTATTGTATTTTCTGATATATTTAACATAACATGCTGCTGCAAGGCAGATTCATCATTATGGTGTTTACATTAGACCCATGTCACCTGAGGCTGTAGTGGAGCAAACCCAGAGAAGTCATCCTGAGGAACAACAGAGGCAACCACCTAAAGACAATGTAACATTTTAGATATCAAATATATTCATTAAGTAAAAAAGTAGAATATACAGACGGCTGTGTGATTCCACAAGACTGGTAGGTAATAGAATTCATGTAGTAACATCTGTGCAATGCCTTTCTGAACGTCAAGTATTACCTTAGCTTTGCCCAGATAGTCCTTCTTCTCCAGCTCAGCGACATAGTGCTTATTTGGCTTGAACAGAACATTCGATGGGAACTCCACTAGTTTGAAAAGTTTCTGTTTCTGTTGGTAAAATGGCATCACATGTAAAAATCTAATGTAGTGACTGAGCACTGCACTTTACTTATCCTTAACCTGTTTTAGAGTAGAGTTAGGTTGACGAAAATATGTATAAATTAGCAAATGCTCTTGGTTAATGTAGCCCTTTGCCATTTTGATATATAAAATAAAATTTCTTGCAAAAACAGAATTTCTTGTTATGAATCTAATGACATTTAAAGATATTGACAAATTAAAATGTTTAAATTGGTGCGAGGATGATATCTTAATAATGTTGGCCACTTTGTGACTGACCAGTGTCGACTGAAGAGCTCTGTCGATGGCATTGAGCTTAGCCTCTGTTTTGTAATCGAGAGCCTTCACAAGGTTTTCCTGGGCCTTTTCCCAGTTGCCCAGCTGAGCCTCAGCCAGGGCCATATTGTGGAGAACCTGTGACAGGAAACATTGATATTGAATTAGTAGCTTGTCACTATTTTGATCCCTCATGCAGACCACAGAAGAAGAACAACTAGACCAAAATAAAAAATATGCAAACTACGAAATGTATTCCATGTCTGAACTATTTAACAGTGGTAAACAGAAAGTAGGAATAATAATAATTTGTGACATAATAAGGAGGCTTAACAAGAACATATAAAATGTTGCATCTATTAAATACTTACATCACATGCAAATAATTTGTATCTGAGTCCAAGTGCTTTGTAATCTATCAGCTGGTTCCCTCTTAGTTCTTTGAAGGCATAGTGGAAATCACCCAAACTCTCCTCATACCTTTGAGCAGAAATAATACAGTTTATTACTTTTACATTAAATGAAGCACAAAAATGGTAAAAGTGATTAGGAATCACTTCTTCTAATAATAAAACCACACTGTTATAAAATGTTTTAAAATCACTGTTAATTATGACAAGTTTTTTGAGATGAGTGGTGTTACATGCCTCTGCTTTTTGTAAAAGGCGATTCCTCTTTGAAAGAAGGCAACCGCCATATGCTCATCCCTGCGAATGCTGCAATCAAATGCCTGAGAAGAAATTGAGAAAACACTGTGACTTCCTCCTGAAGAGTAGAGAAACTGCAAACTCCACTTCTGCTTTCTAAATGACTTGCACTTTTTTGACAATAAAATACTTTTCGGTTATTATCTCCTACATGCAGACAAAATTTTCCTTTTTAATGAGGAATATTAAGAGAAAATGTTTTTGTTTTAGTGATCATTTTACCATCAATCTGAGACATACCTTTTCAGCAGCATCCAGGTCTTGGTTAAGAAGATGGAGACAGCCTATGTCAAAACAAATTTTGGAGTTGGGTTCTTGGATTGAAAGGAAAATCCTGAACGCTCCAGACAAATCATCTCTGTCAACACAGGTTACGGCCTCATCCCACTGACGAAGAGTGTCGACAAAAGACATAGTGGCTGGCTCAGAGTGCACAGCGCTTCAGAGCAGATTAAGGAAGCTCCATTGATTTATAGCAGCAAATGAGGAAGTGTGATGACGTAAATGTTGGTACATTCAAATCCAAACCCAACACCAATGCAATGTGAGTGTGTATGTGTGTGTGCACGTGCGCATGGTTTTAGGGTTAGAGTTAGAATTAAGTTTAGGCGAAGGTAAGGGTTAAGCATTTAGTTTGGATGTTTAAGGTAAGGTAAGAGGCTGGGGAATGCATTATGCCAATGATTGTCCTCACTAAGATAGATTTATAAACATATATGTTTGTCTTTGTGTCGTCTAGGTAAAACTCATGTTGTGGGGACCTAAATATGTCCCAGTTACATAATGTCTTCTTTATGGGGACAAAAAGCAAGTCCCCATAAAATAAATCATTTGTTTGGCTTAGATTGAAGGGATAATAAAAATTAATTCATCATCTAATCACCACTATGCCGATGGAGGGGTGGGTGAAGTGTCTGAGTCCACAAGACACTTACAAACAAAACACTAGGAGTTTCAGGGATAAACTGTGTTACAGCCAAATGCAGAACTAACTGGGGATTGATTCTGCATTTAAATTAGACTTACAATATTATTTACACCATGTTTTTAGCCTAAATGTCCTGGACTCAATGGACTCAAACACTTCACCCCACCCTCCATTGGTATAATGGTGAGTAGATAATGAGTGAATTTTCACTTTTGGTTGAACCATCTCTTTAAGTGTAGGAATAATAAGGTTTTGTTTAGGCTGTCCACAGTGAATGGAAGTCAATGCAAAGTCCTTGGATAGGTGCACATCTGTGTGTGTGTTTGTTAAAATACAAATTACACCATGAAAACATATCCTTTTTAAATTAAAATGTAAGACAATATGAAGAGTTTAATAACAACGTACGTACACAGAGATAAGGATGAAGTTAATAGTTTTTTATAATCACTTAAAAGCCTTACAACTGCTCAGCAAGTGGTGTTTTATTTTGGAAGAGACTGTTGTTGTTCTGTATTTTGACAGTTTTCAGCATCAGTGCTAAACTTCACAAAGCAAAATGTCCGGTAAATATAAGAAATGTTATCCCATCTGCAAATACCACGCAAACACTGAGCAGTATTGTCTTTTCTCTTGTTTTTTAACTCTCAAAGTAAACAAAGATTTTACTTTAAAAGAACAAATTACGTGTTTCCGCTGTCCGTGTTTCTAACTTTCCTAGATGCACCCGTCGCTAGCTAAACAAACATGGCTGTGCTACACTTTCGAACAACGCATCTTAATGATACTTAGGCAGACGACAATGCGACGGTAAACGAGACAGATGCCAAATGTGACGCTATAGATGGAGACTCGTTGCGTTGTGTAGCTGCTTAGCTTAGCCTAGCGTTTTGCGACCGTGTATACGCGCAGTGAGGCCAGTAGCTCCCCCGGTTGGCTAATGCAAGATAGCCAAAATGGACCTTGGAACAATGTTGTACAACAATTTAAAAGAAGTTACGTGGAGCACGACGTCCCTGCCATTAGATCAACTCGTCAGCGCATACAGGCTGCCACAAATTGCCAAGCTGGACAACGGTTAGTAACTTTCTGACACTGGCCAAGTTTCTAGGCTACAACTAGCAGCGGTGGCTAGCAGCTGGTTAGCAGCAAGGGTAAACTCAGCCGTCGTGAAGATTTTCTCTAGTTGTCTTGATGTTTGTCCATAAACATGGTCTAGTTTGTGTTAAATAAAGATAATGTTATTGTGTAGGTCTCATGTACATGTGTGCTGTAGTTATGGAATTAAAACCGATACGTTAGACTAAAAGAAGAATAAGTACATGTTAGGGAACAGCATATAAAGGCATCAGATGACTGTAATTACTGTTGTGAAGATAAATGTCCAGTGTAGTATAACATTTTGTTGCAGTTTGAGTTTCAACCCCCATCTGTTTATTCAATAGACGAGGCTTAAAACTCACCCCATCAAGATGTTTAACATGACAGTGACCCTGCAACCAAACAGACCACTGTAACTTGAGGTTATGGTCACGTTGAGTACAGCAATTGAGCCATTATGACACCAGCAGGGGGTTATCATGTTGGTCTTCATGATCCAGTCCTCTGTCACACTCCTGAGCAGAACTGTGCTGATGCATTGTGCTTTTAATTGTAGTGCTTGTGTTTTAGAGAGGTATGGATTAGGGCATTAGTCACTGTCCATGGAGGAAAGTGAATTGAGTGCTGTGTAATCCAATGCCAATGATCTGAGTGGTGCATAAAGCGACACTAAGAAAGGAAACAGTCACCATGGCAGTCCTCATACACAATGTTTAATGTTTGGAGCAATCACCATGATCATTATGGTTCATCACCTCCGCCAGGGAGGTTATGTTTTAGTCCCTGTCAGAAACATAAAAAGTGTCAAAAGCATATCAAATTCCCACTGCATATACTGTACCTAAGTTTCATAATAACCTCTTGATATATACTGCCATTTTGCACAATTAAGGCTCACATTTAAAGTCATGAAGTCATGAAATATTGTAAATTTCAACTAATATTTGACACATCTAGTGAGAACAACATAACATTAAAAGAGCTGAAATTAATTAATTAAGTGTTGATGATAATTGATCTAAACAGCTGGTATGACATTTCAGGCAGATTGTATTAAATTGGGCAATGGTAATGGCAGGGGTAGACTTAGAATGGGACTCAGCAGAGTCTATATTTCTTTTATTGAGATGCACAAATGATTCCCTGTTTTCATTCCTGCAGGTCAGTTGGTGGAAGGGCTCAGAGACAATGACTACCTCTTGATTCATTCCTGCCGACAGTGGACGACGATCACCGCTCACAGTCTCGAGGAGGGCCACTATGTCATTGGGCCCAAAATAGAGATCCCAGTACACTATGAAGGTGAGACACATCTACACAGAATCTTCCTAGTTTTGCCCAGTATTGTCTTTTGTTAACATTTATCTGTTTATAAACTATCCTTTTGAAAACTTGTTAAAACTCATTAATATCTCAGAGGGTGTATTTAATTTCAGGGCATGTGAAAAAAGCTACATGAACTCACCTGTAATAATAAATAATTTGTAGAGGTCAATTCACAGCAAAGCCCTCAAACTCTGACGATGGACGATGTAGGTTGCATTGTACTACAGTCAAGTTAATGATGCTTCACTTCTTGCTTGACCCAGTTAGTTGCCATAATATGTATTTTCCTTCTTTCAGGCCAGTTTAAGCTACTGGAGCAGGACAGAGATGTCAAGGAGCCTGTACAGTACTTCAACAGTGTGGAGGAGGTGGCCAAAGCATTCCCTGAGAGAGTGTATGTCATGGAGGAAATCACTTTCAATGTTAAGGTACATTTGATATGTTAATGTGTCTCATTATGGTGGCTTTTGGAGTTTGTTGTATTACTTTACTTGATATTCTGACTATTAACTACTTGAACTCCCAACTCTGACATCAGAGGTATGCCATAAATTGAAATGTCCTGTTAGGACACCTTAAAATGTATTTTCGCTTAGTTTTTTGGGATACATTTTTAGTTTTAACTTCTTTTTTCACTCTTATACAAATTTTGATTTACCAGCCTTATGGTTTATTCTTTTCCATGTCATCTTTGCATAGATGGCTTCGGGGGAATGTAATGAAGACACAGAAGTTTACAACATCACACTGAGCACTGGCGATGAACTAACATTAATGGGCCAAGCTGAGATCCTCTACGCCAAGACCTCCAAAGAAAAATCAAGATTCAACACCATTTTCAAGAAGATCGGGAAGCTTAACTCCATTAGTAAGATTGGTCGAAGTAAGATGCCGTGTTTGATCTGCATGAACCATCGCACCAATGAGAGCATCAGCCTGCCTTTCCAGTGTAAAGGCAGATTCAGCACTTGTAGTCCTCTGGAGCTTCAGATGCAGGACGGTGAGCACATCATCAGGAACATTGTAGAGAAAACTCGTCTCCCAGTCAATGTCACGGTACCCAGCAGTCCACCTCGCAACCAGCATGACCTCCACCTCATCCGTGAGGGCCATCGCTATAAACTGGTCAACATTCAGACAAAGACTGTGGTTGTGTGCTGCATTCTGCGAAGCAACAAAATTATCCCCATCCATTTTCCCTTTCATATGGCCATGCCCAGATTTATTATTCCGGAAGAACTGCTGCAGGGAGAGTTGTGGCTAGATACTATGGTGCATCGCTGGTTCTCCTTCTGCCAGGAGCAGTTTGACATAGACGACTATTCCCGTGCCGTGCGGAATGTGCGGACAGACTGGAACGACGATGGTAAGAGTCCTAAGAAAAGCAGTGGGAATGGTAGTTGCAGTGGAAGTAGTGGAGGCAGCAGTAACTCCAATGGGTGTCCTGGTCACATGCAGATTCCCAGCTCTTTAACGTATGCCCGGGATGAGCTCACCCAGTCCTTCCACAGACTCTCTGTGTGCGTATATGGCAGCAACCTGCATGGAAACAGCGAGGTCAACTTACAGGGCTGTATGACACTATGTGGGGATTGGGCTCTTCTGCCCTCTGATAGTGTTCCTTCAGACTCTGGAGAAAATGAACATTTTTTCCCTGAGCTGCTGGACAGCACAAGCCAACAACCGCCCTTCAACAAGTCAGATGTTCCATATGAGGAGCTGTGGCTGGATCACCTGAGAGGTCAGATCCCAAAACCCTCTTTAAGTGAGGGAATCCGAGGCATCAACAATGGCTGCAGCACAACAGCAGCCCTGTCATACCCAGTCACTTGTCCTCTTGGAGCAATAACCAGTTTGGATGTTGCTCTTACTCCACCACCGGTCCCACCCAAATCTGAAGCTGTGAGTAATATTCTCGAAGTAAGGTTTAAGTCCTGGTTGATTTGTTTGCATCTGTGGTTAACGTGGTTGCAGCCAACGGAGCAACTTCGTCAGAAATATGACAGGGCCATGCGATTTGTCAGTTTACTGCACAATCAAATAAGCTCACATTGTTTTGAAATAGATTTCAGTCAGTAATAACTGCACATGCAATCTGATTTCCTACCACAGACAACAGCAGGCCAAAGTAGAGTTGGTTTCTGCTGAAGATCATCTGTGGTGACAATGTTATGTTTTAACTGCATCGGCCTTTGGTCGGGTTTGAGCACAAAAAAGACTCCCTGTTGGGTTCTGGTCAGGCTCAGTTTGTTTTCTCATAGACTCGGTCAGGCTTGGACAGAAAAGTCTGGCTAGAGCTGCATTCTACTACATATGGCTCAGAACCAATAGAAGAAGAAAAGTATTGGGAGGTAACTCAAATCTATTGCGAAGGAACGCAAAAGTGATCCTCAAAAAATTCTCTCAGTGAGCCATTTAGGGCTCCGTACACTTCAGATGTTCAAACTGTAATTCCATACAGCTCTGATGTGTTTACAGTAAGACGTCATGAATAAGATGAAATTGGCAATCTCAATACAGTGCATGAATAGCAAACTTCACCTCTCCCAATATAACTTATATATAGAGAAAGTAAATATGTTGATTTGAGCTGTGTCTAACCCTAAAAAAACATGTTAGTTTTGCTGTCAGTTTCACAGTCAGGTCATTTCCTTTTTAGGTGAAGGAAGAATGTCGTCTTTTGAATGCCCCACCAATCCCTCCACGAAGTTTGAAACAGATGCCATCGGTGCCCATCCTGTCAAAGCCTCGGCAGCAAGAGACTCGATCTCCGAGTCCAACGCTCTCCTATTATTCCTCTGGCCTCCATAACATGTAAGAACTGGAGGCATTTCATAACACTCTGACTTCTGTATATTTCATTTGACTAAAGGCAGGTTACATAAACTCAGAACATTCACTGAATTATTCTAGATTCAGAGGCTGACATATGCTGACATTTCACAGTCAGAGACAACCACTTTCTCTGTTCAGCTTTCCAAATCCACCTCCATGCTTTTGAATTCTTTTCTGTATGGTTAGCTGTGTTGATTAAGTATTTTAATGAGACATTTCAGTGAGGTTCAGAAATAATTTGTCATTATGAAACCTACAGGAAGTTTCCTCTTATACTACTAAATACTATTTTTTACCATCAGAAGTGGAGCATGTGAAGAAGAAGCAGCTGACCCACAAGAGCAAAGCCACGTGTGCTACCCCTGTAACTGGGGTAAATCAAACAGCACTGAGCCAAATGATATGTTGCCCACTGGTAGCCTGTCACTAGATGGGATGTCCTCCAGGTTGTCTTGGCCAAACAATTTCAGTGGAGGAGAATCACACTGCATGGAGGAATTCCTACCAGCTAGCTGTCGGAGTTACTACAGTTACCCCAGGAAGAGATCCCCAAGCACCCCAAAAACCTGTACCTCAAGCCTTGTCGACTTTGATGGCAGAGATCACACACAAAGCAGTAAGGACTTCAGGTTGCAGAACACTTCTCTGAATCAGGTCTGCACAAAATCTTCGAGTTACAATTCAGAGGTGTACAGAGACAAGCCAATAGAAGAATCTAACACCAAGCAGAGCCTCTCTTGTCCCATCTTACCCCCGAGAACGCCAAAATCAAATGCCATAAAGAACTGCACAGACTTACTGCCAGTGTCAGCCTGTGACGCAAAGCAGGAAACTTCAGATTGTTCACTTACTCAACAGGAGCAGAGTACCAAAGAGATATATTCCATCTGTGACTCATTGACTCCCAACTGTTCGTCCATGTCTGCCAGTGCACAGTGGCAGCCTCCGTCCAGTCTGGCTGGCCTCTCCATTGAAGAGGTGTCCAAATCTTTGAGATTCATTGGCCTGCCAGATGACATTGTTTCTCTTTTTGTGTCTGAGAAGATAGATGGGAATTTACTCCTGCAGCTCACTGAGGAGATTTTGTCTGAGGACTTCAAGCTAAGCAAACTACAGGTGAAGAAACTCATGCAGTTCATCAATGGATGGAGACCCAAGATATAACTATAGTATGTGACACTAATGCCTGCTGTAAAGACATGCCTTCAGTATATATGCTATACACACCAAGCCACAAAGATTTTTTTTTGTATAATATGAATTTATTTACTTGTTACTATATTGTGGGGGAGATTGTTGGGTTCCTCTCAACCCACAAAAAAATATGTGACTGCTATTTAATAACTGTATGAAGTCATGTGGCACTTTCATGAAGACATTTTCATGTTTTTCACACACAGCCTACTAGTGTTTAAGTCAATATGCAAACTCTAAATTTAAATCCAAACACAGATGAGGAGAGGACAGGAAAACATAATTCAGAATCTGCCTGATGACACTGAATGTCTACCAATTTAATGATTTTTAAAAGAGCACAAATCAGAGAATGGGCTGTAGTATGTGTATTTAACAAACTGAAAACTGTTAAACTGTTTATAGATACGTAGTTGCTAATTTGACTGGATTTGATAACATCCACAACATTATCATTTAAAAAAATTTAATTATTATAAGCTTACATCTTGAGCATGTAACTATACAGTTACAATTAGTGATTTTTGATGTATGCACTGTTTTTAGTTGTATGTATGGAATATAGTCTCACAGTTTTCACAACGTGATCAAAAGTTACTGAAAGTGCATTTTTGCATCATAAATCTAAACAGTTGATTTAGCCTATATGCTGCTAAAATGTATTTAAAATTAGAGCTTGACTGATATGAATTATTTTGGGGGGTTGATGCAGATAGTGATATTAGGGAGTAAAAGATTCGTCCAAAGAAATGTGACCTATGAAAAATATTGAATTGATATTTTACAGTTTAACCACATAACATTAGCATAAGTTAAAACTAACATTAGTTAAAATAACTACAAATAGAAAATATTTAGAAAATAAACATGTTTACACTGTACTTAAAAAATGTATGTGTGTATTATACTATTATTCTGTAAAAAAGGTTATGTCAGCAAACAAATGCAGACACTGATATCGATGAATGCCTTAAATTTGTCGGGCTCTAAACATTTACTTGTGCTCTTTTAAAAATCAACTCGTCTAAGCTGATCTTACACAGAGTTGCGTCTGCATAAGTAAACTCTTGTTTTACTTATCTACATGGCAAGAAATAGAAAGTGCTGTAACTCAAGGGTTTCTGATTGATGCACAGTTCCTTTGGCAGTTAATTGGGAAAAGTGGGATCGGAGGGCGACCGTAGTAAATAAGAGTTTAATTTCTTATCTTAATAGATGTGTGTTGATTTCTGAAGATAAAACAACAAAGTCAATCAGTTTTAATGTAAGTGGAGCAGGAGCTGTCTGTACATCTCCTATCACTTTACAGTGTTGGTTATCTGTGGTTTTCTCATCTCATTTCAGAAGATTTGTTGCATGCATTTAAACCAACTGGGTTTTGTTTTGTCTATTCTTGGTCTAACATTCTCCACTACAGAACATGTTAAGAGTGAGCCAAATCAAATGATTGTCTCTGAAGAGAAGTTGTTTTTCAACTATTCTCATGCAAGGTCTTATTTGTATTTGATGCCTTTTTATATGAAATCTAATTCATCTACATAACTACTTATTTTTACCTAGAAAAAAAATCTCCAACTTGAGGTTATTAATAACTTAAAATTAATTGTGTCCTTACTCTAAAAACTAACATGCATCATGCACTTTGGTTCATTAATTACTTGCAGTTAGGTCATAAAATATAAACCTATAAAAGAAGAGTGTCTATGTGTCGAGGGAGAGTGAATGCACTACATACTTTTTCATAACTAAAATGGTACGTCTCCAGTGTCCTCATTGTATGTATTACAAGTGTCCTAATGGAAGAAACAAGTAAAAGCTTTTCTGCGCCTTAACCCAGAGACCTTTAAATATATATGTGATATTTCACTTTAGCTTAAAGGTTTTCATTTGACCAGTCTCTCGTCATGAGACTATGCTCTAACATCTCATTTTGAACTGAGGGAATGTTGTCAAGTGTGTATCACAACCCTCAGAGACATGTGAGCTATTAAATTTGATGTGCGATAATGAGAAATAATGGTTTTTATATTTGGTACTTTTTTTTTCTCCTTATAGCCTTGGTTTAGAGTTGATTTATTTATGCAGTTATTTAACATAATAGTAAATATGCACAACAGTTATTCTTCAAACATTTGTGTTAGTGATATATGAAGGTGCCTCAGCAACAGCTGCCCCCCCCCCTTACTATCTGAAGTGGGGTGTTACATATTTTACTTGATATTTTCTTTTTGTATGTAAATGCAAAGTTATTGTAAATTTTGTGATTACTAATGTTAATTATTTTTATTATGAAAAAAGCTTATGTTCAAATTGTGTCAGAATTTTATCCTGAAAAAAAAAAAACTTGGGTTCTACTTGGGTTTATAAATCCTTTGCATTAAAATAACGGTTATGAAGAAAAAAAACCTGCCAGCCTCAATCACATTACATGGACAGTGACCAAAAAAAGATGTTAATAAGCCATGTGTCCAGGTTATTTTTCCGCTTTCTTTGCAACTTAGCCACAGTATCCATATTTTTTCACAGGGAATGTCTCTTGACACTATTATTTTATGGCCGTTAATGTTCTATGCAAGAGCTGTGGTGCTCGAAAGGGACCATGCGGTGGACATTGAACAATGAAGAAACGTGTTAGTGACAGAAAAAGGCAGTGGAGTATTTACTTGTGTTGTAATAACCACAGTCTTAAATTTCAGGAGAAAAACATGCTGGACAAAGGAATTTTTTCATGTCAGTAATTTTACTTGAATAATTCTGAGATGCAAACTGGGAGCACACTAAGACAAAAAGCCTGGGTCGCATTGACACACACTGACACACACGCACCACCACCATCCGCAGGCAGTCAATGCTAAAAGGTATTCCAAGTTGGTAATGTCTGACAGCTGTGGACTAAGGATTTGATGAATTATTGCCATTTTAGTGCAAAAAGGAGGGAGGAGGAGAGTATTGGTCAGAAATTTTGAGTTATGAACAGTTTTATCTTTCAACTTAACTCTTGTTTCCCTATAATTGATTGTATATTCTATTAAAAATGGATTAACTAATGTCTGTGTTTCATTTGATCAAATCTACATATGTCAGTGACATGAGACGAGGAATTAGTTTGAGATTGCTCACTTGCACTTTCTGCACAATGGAGGGGATCTGACTAAGCGAAACAATGTGTGATGAAAATTTTAGATTAATCAGAACGCTTGTTTAAATCTGGCTTCATAATTGTATATGTAATCATTAAATACAAATTAAACAGGATGAGTTATTTGTGCACTCAGAATTAAACTGAGGGTGGATGATTATGTGGTCGGTCAATGGACAAATAATCTAAAGTTATTAAGTCAACTAAGCCATTTTTTCAACTGGTAATGTTAAACATGAAACAATTTTACTTCCTTGAATGTGACCCTCTGCTTATCGCTCATCTCTTTATTGGATAAACTGATGAACTATTGTAATGGACATTTTTAGATAATTGAAAGATTAATGATGAAAATAATTAAAGTTAATACCTTGCACTGCAGCCCTGCATAGCTCAGATATAAGGTGACATTTTTCTTTAAAGATTTATAGGTTTGTTGATTTGATACAGTCACATTATTAAGTGTTCAGCAAAGATTTGCTGGGATGTAGCAACGGATTGCAGATCAGATCAGAAGCTTTTCAGGAACCAGTAGGTGCTTCATCACTTCTGCTTTAGTGAAGACACACAGCCACTGTTTCCTTCCTGAAAAAAAGCAGAACTGAGTTTACCTTAAAACTGTGAGACACTAACCTGATACTCACAGTTTAATAGGTAACAACCATTTTGCTTTTTCCCTTCAAGTGGTTTAAACTGAAAAAATTTACTTAAAACAAGAGGAAACCACACGGCTTTCCTCTAATATGGCCAAAATGATGATGTCTACACCAACAATTACTCCGATTTATTTAAAAAATGTTTTTATTACAATTCCTAATTCCATCTTTCTTCTAATCTTTTGTTTGTTCAGTATGAGATAATATGTGAATCCTGCCTGACAAAATCTGTCATGACATGAAATCTAAGGTACAAAACAGGAATCATTTGAGATTACAAGAATCTTTAAACACCACAGATTTCCTTTTCTACACATTTTTAGACATTCTAGATATTTGTATGACTCATGTCTATTTAAACAATCAGAACCATGACTCCCAGCCCACCCAAACCCGGCCAAGCACATTTGGGTCCATGGCTTGGTCGAGCAGACAGTCCACCTGCTGCTCTGCTGACAGGCCTGCAGCTGGAAGTTTAGCACGGATGTTGTGCTCTTGAGATCCCAGGGCCACGGACTGCATCCCAGGAAAGGCCGGGTCCTTCTCAAAGCCCAGCTTCAGCTCCTCACTGACAAAATTAACCAACACACAAGTAAAATGCCTTTATCAAAGACCAATTGTGGTTATTGGTATAAGTGAGCATCTGAGGCAGAATTTATATCATGGAGAACAACCCCCTGACATTATAAAGCAATGGAGACGGTATATTGTATATTTTTTATCAGAATTGAGAGCATACTTTAATTGTAACTCATCTTAAACTAAAAAAACCCCATTAATGATGAATTAACATCATGATTTGACGACCTACCTGATTATAGCAGCTGGATTTGCTCCTTCTAGTTTTCCTCTAGCAAAGTTCACCTTCTGTAAGGGATACCAGTTGATTTCTTTGGTGTTTATGTCCTTTGTCCATGAGCCTCCTTTCTTCAGCTGTTTCAGCTCAAAGTTCTGTGTACAAGCGATGAGAAATGCTACTGGTACCACAATTGTTTACTGTATGAGGGAAGGAAAGGTTTAAAACTGAATTCATTTAACACACAGTTAAATGAATCCAACCTTTCTTACAAAATATGAAAATAGAAAAATATACAAATAGCTTGTTTGACTGTTACTTATTTAAAAAAACAACACATTATGAAATAAAATTTTCTTACTGAGACTTTGACATTTTTGTCTTTCCTACTCACTTGTCAAACACTGAAAATATAGTGGAATCTCTGTTGCAGGTGTGAGGGTTACCTTCCAGTCCAGCGATGGCTCCTTGACGAACACATCCATGGTGTTGAGCAGAAGGTCCGGCTCAGCCCTGAAGGCTCGCAGTGAGTGAACCATGACGTTCTGGATCAAGCCAGACTCCTTCAAGGGTTGCATCAGATTGACGAACTGTCTGGTTAGGCGGAAAGGCATGAGCTCCGGCACAGGGAGAAACTGTGAGGACAGAGATTTATTTATATATAGTGTCAATTCACATTTGCACATTTGCACAGCTGAACAGAAAAACATACTTTTGACTGTTGGGATTTATGTTAGATTGATCTGTGTTGGGAGCAGTCTGGATATTTTCCTGCATTGAATCTTAACAGATTTGTGCCTACTTTTTATGGATGGATATTACATGCTACATAGATCATAAAATGATATATTGTATTTATGGTTTGTATGGTGTGTTTCTTCACTGTCCCTTCATTTATAATTATAAAAACAGGTTTATTGCTGTGTGTCTTAACAAAGACTCATAACCGATCACATTGGGCAAGTCATCCTATTGATTATCTTCCATTTGTTTATCTAAGTTTTTTTAAATAACCGCTCCTAGTTAAAGTAATGTATTATTCTAATGACCTGTGTGGCTGAACCAAATGCGTGACCAAAGTCAATGCCGATCATGCCTCCTGTCTCCATGTTGATCATGTAGTTGGAGAGATGTCGGTCTCCAATGCCCAAAATCCAGTGGCTCACACAAAGCAAAGCGTGAGAGCTGATAAAGTGAGATCGCAGGGAGAGAAAGGCCTCTGGACTGTTACACATCTTCAGAAAAGCTCTCCTAAAAAGTGCAAAAGATAAATAAGGTTTTCTTTCTGCCAATTGTAAACCGTAATGAGCACTTTCATTATCCAGAGAGTCTTGACGTACTTCAACAGATCACTGGGCACATGCTGCAACACTTTCAAAAAGTTGCTCACCACATCTGCACGCTTTGCTTTCCTGGGAAAGAATAAATATTTTCATGCTCAGGACATATTTGGAAAAAAGTGGTTTCAGATGTGCATAGTAAACTATAATCAACAAAACTGTAATTAATATGTTAATTACGATTTAATTACTGGCTGTAACCAGTGCTTTAGGAAAAAAAACTCATCACTAAAAGACTTACTTGTAAGCGTGACCATACACTGCGATAGCACTCGCATTCGGAGCAAAGCTTGAGAGCCATCTATTGTAGACTTCAGGAGCCCTTAAGAAGAGATCATGCCACAGAATTTATATTAATGATCAGAAAATATAAATCCCATTTATATAGACATTCACATAGATCACACTGATTATTTTCATTAGATTGTTGTTGACATACTTCCAGTGATGGGAAAATATGCACCTTTTTTGGTTTTTAAACAAGTAAATATAAATGAAATAAGGAAAAAAAACACAAAAAAGGAAAAGATGAAATCCCCTGACAGCCGCACTGTATTTTAGTTTTTGTTGAGGCTTGAGGAGCTTTATTTTGAAAAACAAATTTAAAATATTATATGTATAATATATTATATGAATAATACATTTGAAAGTGTTCAAGTTATTAGAGTGTAACATCAATACATTACCTCCCTGCTTTTTGCTGTTCCTCCTCAGTCATTGTGCTTTGCAGGAACTCTTTCAAAGTACATGTATTCTCCATCCATTCAATCAGACCAATTCTGTGAACACATAAAATTCCTGTTGTATCTTATACAATAACAAGAGGAGTGACAGTGTCAGGGCGTGATGCCAATGACTGGCACAAATAAAAGAGACATAGTCAAAGAATAAATATATATATAAAAGTAATTTTGGAAAATCAGGAAACCATGTTGTGTTTTTCATATGGGTTTTTTCCCCACTCTTTATTTAACAGTGAGGTCTTTCAGTTTGAGAGCAGGACTTACTGATTTCACTTCCACAGCAAGTACTTCCCTCACTTCATTTACACACCCAAAACAAGGGCGGCAAACACTACATCTGACATTGTATTGGTTGGGGAATTTTGAAAGACTATTTGCAAAGAAAAAAACTGAGAGCAGAAGTAAAAATCGAAGAGCAGACGAGAACACTGAGTGCAGACGTTACAAACGTGCACAGAAGCAGGTTGAGCGTGAGAAGAGCTGAAGCAAGTCATACTAAACCTGAACTTGAAAATAATTCCTTCTCTCAAAGTCAAAGACCACGCTCATGATTAAAGATAGAAAAAAAATGTCTGTTGATTGTAAAAGTGAAATTGCAATGATAGGGAAATTAGTGTACAAACAAGCCCACTACCTTGTTGATATGGGAATGACTTGATAGGTGCGGAGCCGCAAGCCCCTGCGTGTGCAGGCAGCATCGTAACTCAACAAAATGTTCATGACGCCAAAAAGCTGCTCGATGCGTTGGTCCTGGCGGAGGTCCTCCCCACCCTTCACCAGAAAGGGGTGGTCCAGCTCGTCATCCCCACGGATGATCAGGCGTTTGGGGCGACGGATGGAGGACATCACCTTCACCTGCAGGATAAAAATACACGTGATTACATGCTATTGGACCATTAAAACATTTAAACTGGCTTAGTTTAAAATGAACAAAAAAAAAGCATACCCTTTCATCAAAGCCTGTTATTTTCGCATGATACTCTGGCAAAGGCTTTGTTCGGCCGTCATACTGTCCTAAAAAGAGAGGAAAACATTTTGGGATAAACCAAACACTAACAATTTGCAATATTTCCAGAGCTCAGATTACCATGATTTCAGTGATGTACGTTTTTAATTGAACTACTGACCTGGGATCTCCAGCTCATTGCTGAACAGGTCAGCTTTAAACCCACTGAGCCATGGCGAGTACTCTTTTAGGTTCCCAGGTTCTTTCTGAAATCCACGCATGGATGTCGCCAGCTCCTCCACCTTTTGCACAAAGGACTTGTCTTTCCTCTTCTCAAACAGCTTGATGCCTTTAGCTCCCAGTAGCTTCTCCACATCTTTGGTAAATCTCTTTGAAATCAAAGCAAAACAACT